AGCATTCAGGTCTCTGACTTCTTTGCCCTCATTCCGGTGACCTCTGCCACTAATCTGCCTTAGCTATTCACTCACAGCCAGGGCCTGGCTCCTCAACCCCTACATCCCTCTTCCTGCTCTGACCACAGCCTCCCATCCCTCCACCTCCCTCACCCACATGTCCTCACGCTTCCAAGAGACCTCCAGAGCTCCACTTCCTCCAAGCCCACGGTCACCTGCCTGCCCTCTCCATCTCGGGCCTCATGGACCAGCCTCTCAGCAGTACCCTCAATCTTCACCACCCGCCCCCACTGTCTTCCACCTGACAGAGTCCCAGGCTGGGTCAAGGTGATTCTCCACCTTCATCCTACTCCAGTCACCCGGCCTGCGGAAGGCAGTCAAGCTGCCGAGTAGCCTGGGCTACTCTGAGCACAAGGGCTCCCACCACAAGGGGGCATCGTTTCCACCCTGAATTCCTGAGCCAGCTGTCAACACCAACCCACATGGGCAGCACCCTGAAATCACCTGGAAAGCCTGAATGGATGCTAATGCTGGGGACATCTCACATCATTGTTCTGGGGGCTGGCCTGGGTACCAGGATTTATAAAGCTCCCCTAGGGATTCAAAAATACATCCTATCCATACAGAGGAATACTACTCAGCTGTACATAGAAGCGAACTTCTATACAGGCACATAGATAAACCTTGAAAGCACTGTGCTGAAAAGAATCCAAGCACACATGCAGAATACATGTTATATAGTTCTATTTACATGGAAATCTCAGAAAAGGCAAAACTATAGAGCAAGCCAATGAACCTGGGGCTGGGGTCGGGCTGACTGCCAATGGAGAACTTCCAGAGTGATGGGAGGGTTCTGAGACTGGACTGTGATGATTATACATGTTTTAAAAATAAGTGAACTGTATACCAACAATGGGATGGATGGACGCTATATAAATCACTCCAATAGAGTTGCTAAAAGGGGGGGGGGGGGAGGAAAACAAATCTAACCTATATAATTTAAATGTGGTTTTGTATTTAAAAAAAAAATTCCCCTGGTGATGCTAATGAGCAGTCAGCATTGAGAAGCCAGTGAAAGAGGCCTGACACCCACGGACCCCAAGCCATGTTCATGCCTCTCTGGCCCTCGAGAGCTCAGGGCCTCGGCCCCTCAGGGGCCACGCTGTTGGTTTTTGAATGAATGGATACGCATTCCTGCAGCTTGTCTCACGAATCAGCAGCATGGCAAACGTCCATTTAATAGCACCAAGCATGCGTGTCTTCCATTTATGTTCTCATCTAACCCTCTCATCTCCAGGGCCTGTGAGATGGAGATAAATCTCCCTACTTTACATAGGGAGACTGGGATCTCATTCGGGTGAAGTGCTGCCCGGTGTCTCACACAGTCGCTGCTTGGAAAGCTGGGCCTAGAGATCAGCCGACTTGGTGTCTAGTCTTTCCTTCTTCTCTCAGCTCATTTAAATCTTTACTCCAAAGAGGGCAGGGCTGAAGTGAGCTTGCTCTTTTCGGCCACTGATGTGGGTCCTGGCAGCAGCTCTGGATCTGGTATATCTGAGTCAACAAGGTGAAGTGACCTGTCGGAGTCACATGGCAAAGCTGGGCTTAGAGATGGGCATATCTGACCCAAGACCTGAGCAGCCTCTGGGTCACCACTCACTGACCTTAAATCTCAACGATCCTGGGCTGGAAGGAGCAGCTGGTTCCAAGGTGGGATGGCCCTCAGCTCTACCCCCTCTCAGTCCCAATGGAATGAGCTCCTTGGGATTAAGGTTTCCCCCCGAACCCCCTTCAACTTTCGGATTGCTTTCATTTGACATTCCTTCCAGTGCACCAGTCCAGAACAGAAGTGCTCGACGCTGCTGATCGACCAGTTTCATAAAAGGAATCCAGTTTCCTCTGCACTCACAAAAAGCTGTTAGCCCCTGGCGAGTCTCCAGGGCCTGCACTCCAGCAATGCAGCCCAGACATCAGGAGAGGGATGCCAAAGCCCTTGGGCACAGAGAGGAGTCAGCTGGGCGGAGAGATTTACATCAAGAGGGGTTCTCGCCAGCAACACCACCAAGCAACATCCTGTCCTCAGCAAGGGGGCTTCCCTCTGAGATGCCCTGAAACTCAGCGGAGGGCCCTCACACAGCTGTGCAGGGATGGAGATGTGCACCAAACTGTCAATACCTGACCCCAGTGGGTGGGGACAGTGTGATGTAGAAAACACTGGCCAACAGTCCCGAGAGCCAGGCTTCCAGCCTCAGCTGGGCTCTTTCCCAGCATGTGCCCTGGGGCAAGACGCGCAGCCCTCAGCAAGCCTCAGTTCCACCTGTCAGATGGGAACCATACCCCGCCCTGCAGGGCGGCTGTCTGTGAGAGTGTTGGGGAATCCACAAAGCCCTCAACTAAGTCAGGGCTGGACATTTTACCTCTTTAGATCAAGGCTTTCAGGTTTTTCAATTCTCCCAGGTCACATGCAGTGCCCACGTGACTGCAGGAAGTTGTGGATGGAAAGCAGGAGCAATGTGAGTCTCGACTGGGAGCCTGGACCACAGGCTTCAGTCTTGACTTTTCTGAGAATCATCTTTCATGATTCAGAGATGGTTTGAAACTCTGACCTTTTCCCCTTCCCTTCTCTGGGCCTCAGTTTCTCCTTTTATACAATGAGGGGGTTAGGGAGGTGTGTCTAAGGGTCCCTCAGGCTCTGACAGCCAAAGACTCGACTGGAAAAAATCTGGTCCCTCCAGATTGCCGCAGAGGCCCGTGTTAACCGGGCCACAGTCCGGCCTCCCGTCAGCCAGGTTCACACTCCTTTCAGAACATTTGTTGCTGCTGTGAAGGGCAGTCTTCCAGCAAAAGCCTCGTCAGTGTTTGGCGATGAGTCACTCCCCCTGGAGGTCTATTCCCTTTGTGCCTCTCCCTCGGGACTGAGACCAGAGGTGGGAAGACGAGGGCCAGTCTTGCATGGGAAGAGTTTGCTTTGTTTGGATAACCACAGATGGTGGGGCCAAACACTCCTGCTTTTCAAGCACCTCCCGAAACATCCCTCTCTGTGCATGAACGTTACCGTTTACAAAGTTCTTTCAAATCCATGACTCATCTGATTTGGACAAGAATCCTGAAGGGATAGGGGAGGAAATCGAAGCTCAGAGAAGAAAGGTGACTTCTCCAAAGTCATGGAGCGGCCCCTCCTTCCCATGGGAGATATGGGCAGAGCCTCCGAAAGGTAAGTGCAAGGCTGGGGTGGAAATCAGGTCTGGTGATTCCCAGCCCTCAATCCCCCACCCTCCTCGCCTACCACCCCCTGCCAGAATGGGGGGTCTTTTCCAACCCCTCCCACTAAGGTCGGCCTGGATGTCTGTCTCACACGTTTACTCCCCACATGGTGCAGTGTTTTTCTCTTGGGCAGCTAAGCACACCCGGAATGTCTTGCCTCATTGGGAGGCTCCAAGTATCAAGACCACATGGGGAGGGAGAGAGGCAAACAGGAGCCACAAGGAGAATAGGGAGAAAGACGAGAGATGAGTTTGCCCATATCTGAATAGGAAAACTTTTTTTTTTAATCCTCATCCGAGGACATTTTTGCATTTTATCTTCAGATAGAGCAGGGAGGAGAAAGGGAGGAGGACAGAGAGAGAAACGTCGATGTGAGAGAGACACATTGAGTGGTCACTACCCACATGACCCCAACTGGGGCCAGGGACAAAACGCAACCAAAGTACCAAACCCAGGACTCTCTGGTCCGTGGGTCAATGCTCTAACCACTGAGCCAAACCGGCCAGGGCTGAGTAGGAAAACTTTTTAAATATTTGATAATATCCACTGTTAGTAAGAATGTGAGGAAATGAGCCCTGGCCAGTTTGGCTCAGAGGTTAGAGCATTGGCCCATAGACCAAAGAGTCATAGGTTTGATTCAGGTCAAGGGCACATACCACGACTGTGGTTTGTCCCGGCCCTGCTCGGGGTCATTCGGGAGGCAATTAGTCGATGTGTCGCTCTCACATTGATGTTTCTCTCTCTCTCTCCCTCCCACTCTATCTGAGGATAAATGGAAAAATATCCTCGGGTGAGGATTTTTTAAAAAAAAGAATGTGAGGAAATGAGAATTTTTCAAATGCATTGGTGGTACTAGAAACTGGAACAGCCTTTCTGGAAATCAATTTGTCTCACTATTTTAAATGACCCAGAAATTCTACTTCTAGAAATCTACTAGGTGGGAAGGTGTCGGCTGTGATGTTAAAAAGCTGTAAACATCCATAAAGGTCTGGTTCAATAAATTATCATCTATCCATCTGACAGAACACCATGGCCCATTAATAATGATGAGGTCAATCAAGACTTCTAAGATCTGCTGTAACGTGAAAACAGCAAAATCTACAGTCTGAAGTCACTGGGTTTAAACAAATATATTGAAAAAGTTCTGGGCAGACAAAAACTGAACTGAGTGGGGTTCACTGGGGAGAGAATGTAGAAATTAGCAACCTTTTTCTTTTTTTACTGTATACATTTTGGCAGGTTTTTTTTATTTTTGCAAAAATAGCACCATGTGTAATGTGTGGTTGGTTGTAAGCCACTAAAACAAACAGACAAAAACCCACCCAACTGATGGTGACACCAGGCTTCCTTTCCCGGGCAGCTCCTCCCCAAAACTTTCCTCCCCGGAGAGGCGCTATGGGTGGCACATCTGATTTTAGACGGTCACTACGACAGCATCAGTAACAAGGACAACACACCTACAGGGGTGGTGAGGGAATAAGCCACGTGGTCTAGCAGAAGGCACAGTGAAAGGGAAGGGTTAGCTCCTACGCGGGCTAGGATGGAGCGTTCACCTGTCCCAGCCACAATCAAGTCCCTCAGCCATCAGCTCTGTTTGGACAACGGTAAGACAGCTTTGGTCCTGCTAATAAAAGTGCTTTAAAGCCCTGTGATATTGCCCATCCCTGACTCAGCCCCAAGGCCCGTGCCGGAGAGGGCAGCTGCTGACAGGGAGGGGAGCGCGCCCCTCCGCTCGGTACCTCGGAGAACCTCTGCACGTCTTGGGTGAGTGTGCCCACTCGCTTCCACTGGAAATGCTTCAGCAGCTTCAGGATGGCTGGGTTCACCGCGTTGTCCGACGGGACAGTCCGGAAGAAATAAGGGTATTTTTTCTTGTCAGCGAGGACAGGCGTGGTCGCAGCAAAGGAAAGCTGAAAAACACGAGAGAGAGAGAACCTCACTGGTGGGCCTCGCCGCTCCGCGCCCGGATCTTTTGGAACACACTAGACCTTTAGTTCTGACTTGGGCACAAACGCACAGGGCAAGATATCTTTAAACCTTTTTATTGTAAAAGGAATACATTATAATGGAAGAGAAGACTTTAAAAGTACAAAATAAGGAGAAAGAAGGAAAAAATGGGCCAATAATTTACCCCTTGCCAAAGAACCATTGATGTTGTAGTTTATTGCCTTCTGGTCATTTTTCCATGCACAATAATTTTAGTTTTTTCTTTTATCCTCACCCGAGGACATTTTGGCATTTATCTTCAGATAGAGTGGGAGGGAGAGAGGGAGGAAGAGAGAGAGAAACATTGATATGAGAGAGACACATCGAGTGGCTGCCACCCACACACCCCAACAACCCCAACCGGGGCCAGGGACAAACTGCAACCAAGATACGTGCCCTTAGCAGGAACCGAACCGGGTCTCCCTGGTCTGTAGGCTGATGCTCTAACCACTGAGCCAAACTGGCCAGGGCCACAGTAATTTTTTTAAAAAAAGATTCTCGAGGTCATTTCACATACATAATTAAACTGCCCCCCTCCCTGGCACACTTATCATTATCCTACAGGAATTCAGCTATCCTGTTAACTCCTTGTAAACACTGTCATCACTGCACAATATTCCAGTATATGAAAATATCACAATTTATTGAATCATCTCTAATTTGGGGCATTTAGATAATTTCTAATTTGTCATTACTGTCATATTATTCTACAAGCATCCTTGTGCACAGCTTCTCCCCCCCCCGCCCCAAATTTCAGGCTATTTCTATAGAACAAAGTCTGTGATATAAAATTTCCCAGATAAAGCGTAACGCACTTTCAAGATTTGATCCTTATTTCCAAAAAGGATTGTATCAATTTACATACTCACTCACCAGGTATAATTAGAGAGCCAATTTCACCACATTCTTGTCAACAGAGGAAATAAAACATTATTCTAATTTTATAATGATTCATCACCGAAAAACTGGAATCATGTTACATTCATTAGTTATTCATAATGTTTAACCTTTTTCCATGTGGCCGTTAACTAGCAGTGTGTCCTATTTTGGGAATTTGCTTTTTCATGTCTTCTGTTTCTTTTTTGAGTGGTATTCTAATGCTTTTCTTATTGCGTTTAATGAAAACTTTTATATGTATAGCATTCAAATTCAGGCTGCTACAGTTGCTGTGAATATTCCAGTTTGTCTGCTTTCCCATTTTGTGTATGTATTTTAATTAATACTTAGTGGTCGAATCTGTCCACCTTTCCCTTTATTATTTTTTCTCTCTCTTTTAAGTGCCAGTAAGTTGCTAAACTGGATTTTTTTTTTTTTTTTTAATCCTCACCCGAGGATATTTTTCCATTTTTTGTACAGATAGAGTGGGAGGGAGAGAGGGGAAGGGAGAGAGAGAGAGAAACATCGACGTGAAGGGACACATCGAGTGGCTGCCACCCGCACGACCAACCAGGGCCGGGGACAAACTGCAACCGAAGTACGTGCCCTTAGCGGGAACCGAACCTGGGTCTCTCCGGACCGCAGGCCGATGCTCTAACCACTGAGCCAAACTGGCCAGGGCGCTAAACTGGATTTTAATGATCTGTCCAACAAGGCCCAACTTAAATGTCACCTCTTCCATTACGTTTCCTCTGACCTCTGCTCTCCCTTCCCTCAGCCCAGTCAACAGAAGTGGCCTATCCGCCTTCTGTACCTTTGCAGTGTGTGGTGTCCTGTAGTTTGATTTGCAATTATCCTATTATTAGTGAGGGTGAGCATCTCTCCTGTGTTTGAGAGCATTCGCAGGTTCCTTCTGGAGACTGTTCACATCCTTAGTCTGTGTTCCAGTTTGACCTGTTTTTCGTATCAGTTTGTAGAAACGATCTTGTATATGAAGGAAATTAGCTCTTTGTGATATAAGTTACTGTTTTCTCCCCTCAGTTTCTTTTGATATTTCTTAGAGTGTCTTTGGCCACATGGAAGTTTTTTTAAAAATGTGGTTGAATTTGTCTACTTCTAAATGTTATGTCTTCAGGTTTGGAGTCATATTTTCCACTCTAAGATTGAAAAAATTCCTTCATGGTTTCTTCTAGTCTGTCATCTCTCCCTCCCTTCTCTTCCTTTCCCCTTCCCCTTCCCCTTCCCCTTCCCCTTCCCCTTTCCTCCCCCTCCCTCCCTCTCCCCCTCCCTCCCTTCCTTCCTCTCTTTCTCTTATTTCACTTGAATCTTTGATACTAAAGGGCATGGTTGAAGCAAGCTCACTCTTGCCTGCCCCCAGGTCTCTTCCCACACTCTTGCCCGTCCCAGCAGCAGCTTAGAGTCCAATTCAGCATCCAAGGAAGTAACATCCTGGCACCCCAGGCCCCAGCTGAAGAAGCTCGTCACCCGAGGAAGCACTCCCTCCCCGAGACAGGCAGAGCGGGTCAGTGGAGATCTGGTCCCTTTCCCTGGTCTGGTTCAGAGGAGGATCCCCGGATCTCCAAAGTCCACTCAGCAGCCTAAACAGGTCCCATCTGTTGGAGCTGAACACACACCTGGAACTAAAGAGCCCCTACAGGAACCAATCTTTAAGATCCTCACAGAGATAGGGACATCATCCCAAGACTGGTAAAAGTCAAGGACAGAATGGCTGTCAAAAAAATTCTGGATACAATAAGGACCAACAGAAAGAAGCTACAGAGAAGACAATCACTGCTGGACACACTGAGGAACACTTGCATTCAGAGCTGTCCAGCTGTGTAGGTAGTGAGATCCCTGTTTCTGGAGGTATGCAAGCAGAGGCTGAACCATGACCTAAAGAGAACACAGAGGGGCTTCAAGGTGTCTATGAGCTCCCCCAAAACTGTGTGAAAAAGCTTATGTGGGTGTGTATGTGCATACAGACACACATTTTTCTGAAAAGAGGATCCATGGCTTCCATCAAGTTCACAAAGAGGATCCTACAACCCAAACAAGACCAGCGCCCTTGCTTCCGGTGATACTTAGGTCCCACAGTGAGCTCAACAAATAGAAGCTCTCTGCAGTCCCTAAAACCTAGTGCTCATGATTCTTCTCTCAATTTTAAAACACTTCAAGCCTCCTGTGGTTACCAATAGAAGGAACTATTAGAAAAATCAGGAGCAACTATTTCAGGACTTGTGATGGTATATGTGTCATCACATCCCAAAAACGCTTTTCTAATACAAATTTGGAGAATGTTGGTTTTCTGATGTGATTTCTGAATCACACTCTGGTTGACACTTTACCATTATTGTCCCATTAGTTCCAGGTCTACAATTAATTGTTGCTTGAACAACCTCATATGTTTGCCCTGTAGGTAATTACAGTGGTTACTGTTCAGTGAATAAATGGTCCATTGTGTTTACAATGGGCTTGGAGTACAATATATGCCCCAGGTCTAAATCATGTTGGGTGCAAAATATTAACTGGCACTGATATTTTCTGCACCATTTGAGATAATGCACACTTTGATTAGATAGCTTGGCATCACTGTTCCTCTCGCTTTCGCCCCCTAAAACGTCCTTCCATGGGCAAAGGCTGCAGATGCCCACTAGCACCGCTGAACTGCAGAACCGGAGGACCCTGCAAAATGGTCCCGCTCTGGGGTTCTCTACCCTGGCTGCACACTGGAATCATCTGGGGAGATTTTTACAAATAGTAATGATTTGGTCCCACCCCAAACCAACTGAATCAGAATCTCTGGGCACAGAGGTCTGATGGCATCTGTATTATTTAAAAACTCCCCAGGTGACAGTGATGCCCAGGGAAGGTTGAGAACCCTTGATACAGATCAATACCCTTCGTTTTTTCTTTCTTTCAATTTAACTTTCTATTGGTTTCAGGTGTACAATTCAGTGGTTAAGCAATGATATACTTTACATAGTGTTCACCTCGACATTTCCAGTACCCCAATTGGCTCCATACACAGTTATCGCCAAATTATTAACTATATTCCCTAATCTACACCTACATCCCTGTGACTATGTTGTAGCGACCAATTTGTACTTGTTAATCCCTTTACCTCTTTCACCCAGCCCCCAGCCCTCTTCCTGCTGGCATTTACCAGTTCGCTCTCTGTGTCTATGAGTCTGTTTCAATTTTGTTTGTTCATTTATTTTGTTCTATAGATTTACACATGTAAGTGAAATCATATGGTAATTGTTTTTCTCTGACTGACTTATTTCACTGAGCATAATACCCTCTAGGTCTATCCATGCTGTCACAAATGGTAAGATTTTATTCTTTTTTATGGCTGAGTAATAGTCCATTGTATATATGTACCACAGATATTTTATCCATTTGCCTATTGATGGGCACTTGGGCTGCTTTCATATCTTGACTATTGTAACACTGCAATGAACATATTAGTGTATATCTTCTTTCAAGTTAGTGTTTTGGATTTCTTCAGATATATACCAAGAAGTGGAATCGCTGGATCATAAGGCAAATACATTTTTTTTTTAAATCTTCACCCAAGTATATTTTTCTATTTACCTTCAGATAGAGTGGGAGGGAAGGGGAGAGAGGGAGAGGGAAAGAGAGAGAGAGACATTGATGTGAGAGAGACACATCTACTCGTTGCCTCCCACACAACCCCAACCAGGGCCAGGGACAAACTGCAACCTAGGTACACGCCCTCGACCGGAATCGAACCCGTGACTCTTGGGTCCATGGGCCGATGTTCTAACCGCTAAGCCAAACCAGCCATGGCAGGTAGATACATTTCTAATTTTTTGAGGAAACACCATACATTTTCCATAGTGACTGTAGCAATTCCCACCAACAGTCAGCACTTGCTCTTTTTGATTTATTGATGATAGCCATTTTGATAGGTCAACCCCCTTAGTTTTGAATAAGCAGAATGAGACCCAGAAACAGGGAGATATCGAGCTATCCACAGTAGCCAATAAGAGAGAGAAGCAGGGCTCAAACCCAGGTCTAAAGGACT